ACCTTAGAGGGATATCTTTCAAGTTTTTAATACTCTTATCAACATATGAGTGGACAAATATGCTTTATATGTTTGTTTATTATCATTTGAATAATGACAAATATTCTCATGAATATTAAACACAACAACCTCTGAACATTACAAATATTCGCCTCAATTCAACCTGGAACCTCTCTCATACAATAATACTGTGTGTGTGTGTGTGTGTGTGTGTGTGTGTGTGTGTGTGTGTGTGTGTGTGTGTGTGTGTGTGTGTGTGTGTGTGTGTGTGTGTGTGTGTGTGTGTGTGTGTGTGTGTGTGTGTGTGTGTGTGTGTGTGTGTGTGTGTGTGTGTACACTGTGATGGATCGTTGGAGCTATGTGCAGCTCAAGGCATATATGCTCGAATGGGAGCTGCCTGGACGCTGCAATCATGTTGCGCGTACTGAGTGTGCTGACTTTTCGTACAATGTCCCACTGTCTGGCTACCTGCATAAAGTCAAGTGCTCGGCGCAGTTGTCGGCGAAATGTCATTGAAACAGCTCCTTATATCCGTTAGCGCAGCTAGCTAGCACCAGATGCTAACAACAACATCAACACGTAAGGTGTGCCTCGCTCGCGCGAGTCGCGCCACACATACACACCCCCTCCCTCCCGGTCCTCCCGATGGCCAGTCCGGGCCTGCCAGTGAGCGTGGAAGTGTAGTCTGCCACAAGCGGGCGGCAGGAGCGGGGCTGTCAGCATCAGCTTGTAGATGGTATTTTACACTCGATGCGCTCTGAAACTACGGCGGCCGAGGACAAAAAATACACATGCGTTAATCGCGTTAAAATAATTAGTGGCGTTAATTTTTTTTTGCGTTAACGCGTTATTAACGCGTTAACTTGACAGCCCTAATATATATATATATATATATATATATGTAATATCTGCATGTATATTTTCTATTTCGACATTATTATTATTTATTTTATTTTTCTTTCTATTCTTGTATATTTTGTAGTTTTGTTTTATTGTAAAATGCCTTATGCTGCTGTAACAACAACAATTTCCCAATTTGGGATCAATAAAGTACTATCTATCTATCTATCTATCTATTAAACTGACGTTATATTAACCTCCGCTACACAGTGTATTTTGCTTTAATAAAAAATGTTGATCACAAAAAAAAGGGTTATTTTGCGATTTGGCAAATCTGAGTCTGCTGTTGACTCGTGCATGAGGACGAGTCTGCTGGATCTCTGGATCTACTGCTATATACGGCTCCGAGTCCGCACGAGTCTGCTCTGCTGTGTGTTGCAGAACAGTGAGTCAGGATTTGCGAATCTGAGTCTGCTGTTGACTCGTGCATGAGGACGAGTCTGCTGGATCTCTGGATCTACTGCTATATACGGCTCCGAGTCCGCTCTGCTGTGTGTTGCAGAACAGTGAGTCAGGATTTGCGAATCTGAGTCTGCTGTTGACTCGTACATGAGGACGAGTCTGCTGGATCTCTGGATCTGCTGCTATATGGTTACGGCTCCGAGTCCGCACGAGTCTGCTCTGCTGTGTGTTGCACAGCGAGTCAGGATTTGCGAATCTGCGAATCTGCGAGTCTGCGAGTCTGCTGTTGATAGCGCGGGAGCCGGGTGCTGGAGGAGGGGCTATGCTCGTGCACATGAAGAGTATGGATCTCTGGATCTGCTATGCTATTACGGTTAGGAGCCGTCGGCTCCTCTGAGTCCCCACGAGTCTGCAGGAAGTTACACTGATCCGCGTCCCCTCCCCTGAGCCAAACGATAACTTCTGGCAGGCAGCTATCCTGTATACTTGCTAAAGGGTAGGCAGATGGACTGGGGTACGTTGTAATGTGATTTTACATGTTATAAAGAGAGTAGCGAGTGACGCAATTTATAGTTTTAATTTGTACGTCACACCAAGTGTGGGACTCAAGGACTCGGGTTAATGGAGAGGGGAGACTCATCACGACCAGCTCATTTCTAGGATCCGGGTTAATGATCCGGATGAATCAGGACTCGCCCATCTCTACAGGACATCACTATATGCAGCATGCTGGCAGGTCATGTTTTCCATTTAAGGAAAATAAAAGTCTGCACCACAGCCTTTGAGAACTTTGCAACAAAATAGCTAACAGAAGCTAACCCCAGGTAGTCCCTTTTTAAACTACCAGGTAAAAGAGGCTCGTTGACAGAGGAGGCAAAGAGTTGAGAGTGAAAAACGGTCTTCCTACTCAGCTTAACAAGTAAGTCATAAATCATTTCAACTTGTTTGTCATATGATATTCTCATAGCACTGTATGTAAACCCGGGGGATGTACAAACTACATCCGTAGTCCAGAGAGAGGTATCAGTAAAAGTAATACAACTCACAATTTGTTCATATCCCAACATCCATGAAAACAACAGCCGTTTCTGCCTAAAATAACTTTGACCCAATCTTTAATATAACATTATTGATATTCTATCTGTAACCTTTATAAATTAGATACATTTTTGGAACCTAATTTAGGTGACGCCTGCACCATAATACTGCAAAATCCATCTGACTCACATGAAATTTGAATCAATTCATCCTCCCTGGAAGCCTAAATCCTCCCTAAAAAGGGATTTAGGGATTCTGTAAAAACCTGAGTGATTTCTACTCCTTCAAGATTTCATTTTAGTTGAAGACATATTACATGAATAAAGATTAATATTACTCATTCATTTCAGCATGCACTGGGAACACCTTGGACAGGTTGTTGGTGATAATTAGTTTAGTTATAAACAGTAATTGTCCACAGAGAGCTGACAGACCACACACTGCTCTGTTTGGTTCAATGGATAATCAACCACAGGTGTTGCAGAAAACACAGGGAAAAAAATATAGAATTTAATTCACTTCTCCTGCCAAACCTTTCTCTGTCCCTGGAATTTAAAAACCCCTCCAGTCACAAAAACAGCGCATTACAATTCACACCAAGCAACAGCTGCATATAAACCAATACAGTGACCCAGAGCTGATGGTACCGGCTGGTTTCAAGAGGTATTCGCCGAGAGAAAGGGAGAAAGTGTCAAAGGTATTTTCTGAGAAATGAAAAGATCTTCAGAAAACCAATAAACAACCAGGAAATGTTAAAATGCCTCTGCCTGATTATTGTTTAATATATCGTCTTTAAATATGTTGCATTGGTATTTAGTGGTGGAATGTAACAAATTATATATTTGCCTAGTGTAGTTTTGAGTCTAAACTTCATCACGCCAAACATTAGCCGCTTTTAGCTTAGCGGTGGTGACGTGAGATCATGTGACTGTCAAGTAGTACCTTAATGTTAGCTTTGGAGATTGCATTAACGCTTCAAAAATCATAAAAGTGGTGTTAATACTGTATGTGGAAATGATCCTGCTGAAAAACGTGTAAGTATGATAAACATGTATAGCGTATTATCTGCAATAATCCAGAATCCAATGGAAAAGTTCTATTGGATTTTTGTGAACCAGAGAGATGCTAAATTCAGAGTCGCCTACAAAAATATGAAAATACCACTTTATACAGTCAAAATAAATGACTGCAGTTCACTGAATCGCCACTTGAGGCTGGCTTTAAAAAGGAAGTCAATTTCAAAGTGTAAATGCCCAAATGTAAGAAATAAACCCAACATACTTTAGCTTTTGGTACTATAAAGACATTCAGCAGAAAGTCCTTTACTTTCACTTTCATATAAAAGACTATTGCTGCACTATAAGATGTTACTGCTTTTTCTTTATGGTTGTTGTTTTGGTGTCTTAAAGGCAGCAAAACGAGCTGTAAACACTTTATCAAGTAGTTTAGTAGTTGGTATTGTCATGATTTGGTGTTTTTGTTGCCTGTTTTATTTTGAAATGCCTTTTCTCCTTGTCTGGTTTTACTTCCTGTGCTTTCCCGCCTGATAGTCTGATTGTGTCTACCTGCTGCCGCTGTGTTTCACCCCCCCTCCCCTCCAGCAGTGTCTTGTCTCTGTGATTGGTCTATAGGCCTGTCTTCCCTTGAGTTCTTTTCCAGTTTGTTGTATTTGTTCCCGTCTATGTTCCCGTCTGTTTTCCCTGAGGTACTACCTGTGTTTCTTATCCTGTTCCTCGTGCCCCCTGGTCTACCTGTTCAATGCTAGTGGAATACATTTATACTGTTGACTTACATTTATTACAACATTTTACAACATCTTTACATTATAATACATAATACACAATACATAATACATTGTATTGTCCTCTGGTTAAACAGTTAGTTGGATTTTTTGCAAACGTAGCCTATCAGTTTTATTTAAGAAACCTTGCCCTGTAAATATTGGGAATTACATATATTCTATGAGAAAATGGCCCCACTCAACCAACAGTTGTACATAATCAGCCGAACAGATAATTTTAATGAATCGGGAAATACGTAACAATTAAGCTGATTTATGACTAAAAGCCACTGTTAGGACTTTTAGGACTTTTAGGACTGCTTCCTAACTGTAGTGGAGGAACTTAATTTGCCTCTGAATATAGTACATTTAGAAATGTATTATCTCAGGATAAACCCCTTTATGGCGCAAAGAAAATACACTCACCAAACACAAGAATGACAAAAACCGACTAAATATCCACACAAAAAGAGAAAAATATATCACAATCAAGACAATAAAATACAACATAATAAAGGCAAAACAAACAACCAAATACCTGAAGCAATTGTAAAAATGCTGAATCTATAAATTAAGATAAGATAACAAACATAGCATTTTGTTTTAAGACGAGAAAACAATTTTGGTCCATTTTTCCAAACAGAAGTATAAAATGAACAGAAAAAGCACTGAAAAGTAAAGTGCATTACAATGTGCAGTATTTGAGTAGAAGAACTACTTCCCACTGCTGAATTGCACATATAACATTCGAGAACGGAGATAAAGGAGGAGACAGATAAATAAAAGAAAAGCAAATTCCTCTGACAAGTGATTTAAAAGAGGAAAAGCAGAGCGGTAAAAGAGCAGCAATCCCTCCAGCTGACAATAAAACATGCCTTACCTTTGAATGTGGAGTGGAGCAGATTCCTACACAAACAGGTGGATGTGAAGGGGTCCGCACTAACAGGTGGAGAGAGAGAGGCAGCGAGCAGTGAGAGAGGAAGGGTGGGGGGGGAGAGGAAGAGGGGGAGAGAGGGAGGGAGATCTCCCTGTGATAGATTTGGACTTTTTAACCCTTTCTCTGCCTCTTCTCCTGCCTCGTTTTCTCCGATTCCCTGCGTTTAATATCCTCTTCCCTGAGCCTCACATTCATCTGAAATGTCAACAGTGGTGCTTTAATCACACTACACATGTATTAGATTAAGTCTCCCTCACTTCTCCCTCCCCCTCCCCCCCCCCCCCCCGGCTGCAGATTGCAGGGGGGGGGGGGGGGAAGACAGAAAATAATGTGCCAACAAGCAGCATCTGTCTCCTTCTTCCTGTGTGTAATTTGTGCTTAATGACGCCTAATGATACATGTGTGCATCCAACACACAGATAATCACACTGGTTTTTTTTACTACTCTTTTCTCAGGAAATCATCTGGACCTCCATCCATTCTTCCTCCACCCCCCTCTTCTTATTGTTTTTCTTTTTTAACCCTTTTGCTCCTCTTCTTCTTCTCCCGTGTTCAGACGGATAGGTGTCCCTGGAGTGAAGAAACCCCTCGTTAAAAAAAAAAGAAAGATATCCATTCTTCCTCTTCCTGCTCTTCCTCTCTGCATCCCATCATCCCATCCACCCACACACTCCTCTCCACCCATGCATGTGAAATGTACGGGAAACCTGTCTTTTTTTATTCATTTTTCATCCGTTCCATCTCCAGTCTAACATGATATAAGAGCCCTGCAGGCCAGCGCAGTGATGAATAAAAAACAAGAAATAACCTGCTGCTGCGGTGTTGGCTTTCTTTGCTTTTAAACCCAGATGGAGCACTTCTCCACCAGCTAATGGTCCTTGGAGCCGAGCCTGCAGAGGAAAGCTTCTCCTATGTAAAATAAAGTAACACTTTGTTATATAAAAAGCAGGTTTTGAGATGTTTTTTTATTATGTTAAAGAGGCCCTATTATTATTTTTTGGGTTTTCCCTTTCCTGTAGTGTGCTTTAGGTTTTTGTGCATGTAAATCTGCACAATGTCGGCTAAAATTCCAAAGTTCCCTCCAGAGGGAGTTTCTCTCCCCCCCCCCCCCTGAAACACCTCCATTGAACTCCTTTGTACGGTGGCCCTGAAGTGCAAGTCAAAACAGCATTTCAGGAAACACCACAGCATTTCAACTTATACGGAAAGGGTATTCCTTTAGGGAGAACACTTCTTGTTTGTGATTGGACAGAGCCAGCCAGAGAAGCACTGCTGTGATTGGTTGTTTTTGCTGCCAGTCAAGAAATGACGCTTCGTGATTGGTCAGCACCCAACAGCGCAACATGTCCCGAAACATCAGCCGTTAGCTGTTAACACTCAGAGCTCACAGCTCCTCATATCTGTTCAGAAACTGGACAAAAGTTAAACATGAACAAACCACAGACTGTCTGTGTCATGGTGAATACAGTCGCTGCTTTATTTATGTCTGTATACCGTTGTTGTGAGTTTGGACGGGGCAGCTACAGGTTAGTTTATCCTGATCGATCCGATCTCCATTCAGAAAACACGCATTTTAAAAGGTTTTTCGCCTGCAGACTTGTCACAGCAGTAATTCATGGTTTTTAACTGAAACATGTACGTTTCAAAAAGCTCCTCACACACACACTCTCTCAGGCTAGTGGAGCCTCGCAGCGGCGAAACTGTGGCGCGCTTACACTGTAGGTGCGCCGCGTTTGGGGGTGCGGGGGGGGTCCATGGTGCTCAGGATGAGTTCAGGCTGAGTTTCGCGATGTCTCGCTGTCTCGCAGACCCCACGCAGCAACCAGGAAACAACACCAGTAATAGAGCTCACACTGTCCCCTCCTCACAGCAGCGAGCCGCGCAACGTCCCGCCAACACGGCACCCAGACCCCCCTCATCTGTTTGTCATTACTGGTGTCAATTTCTGGTTGCTAACGCCATTGTAACACATAATCACTGATGTTCCGCTGTAAGGGTGGTGGACTCATCAGAACAGAGTGGGCGAGCTGACCAATCAGAGCACACTGGGCTCACAGGGAGGGGGGGCAGGAGCTCCAACAAGCCGTTTAGGACAGAGAGTGAATACCCATACTATACAGAGATGCTGTATGAGAAACCAATGTGAGTTTGGAAAATTGCACAATGTAAATCTATTCTAGTAGACCTCAACAATGGAATTATGATCAGTAGAAATGGCCATGACATTTGACCTTTAAAATGGGCATAATAGGGCCCCTTTAAGGAAAGCTGTGTTTCCTGAGAGTGGGTTGGTGACAGCTGCATTAAAACAAAACTGTGTTCATGCAGGATGATAAAGTGCAAGAGGTTATGATTTTTAAATACACATACAAATTCTGTCACATAACAAAATAAGAGGAAATTGGCTAGTGTGCTTTCCAACTCAGAAGCAGCTATATATAGCATATACATTTCCTTCTTGCCAACGTGAAGAGAGAGAGCCCACGCAGACAAGTTCAAAATCATTGACATTTACATGAGAGGCTTATATTAGTCAAGTGTGTCCCCAAAAGTGCAGTGTACACAGTGTATGATAAATAAATGAGACGCATAACAATAAGACTGTTTATTAGATAATGTTTGAGCTAATCTGGTGATAAGACGGTAAAATTGGTTTTCATTTCTGCTTTAATATAATATTTTAAAAAACATTTATTTCTGTTTTGGATTAGGCCAACCGGCTAACTCAAACATATCCAGGTTAGGTTGAACCAGCTTCGTAGTACAGGCCTCTGTTGCTGGCTTCGTTCATGTATTTGTTTATTATCAATAAACGATTGTTATTGTAGGAGCCAATTAACACTGTGGGTATAAAGGTAGGAACCTATGTTTGTGGTTAGAGGTTCCGCCGGAAGGCCATACAGTTTTTGACCACACACGGACCAGACACGGAGAACACACACACACGGAGCACACACACAAACACGGGATTACAAACATTTGCAAAAGGTATTGTGTGAACCGTAATATCGTGTATGGTGAATGAGAGAAAGAAGCAAGTTAAATGGAAACCAGTGAAAAGGCAATAAATGGACTGTATCGAACTGGAAACTTTGTTTCGGACTTTTATTCAGCAGCAAACTTTATGTGCGTCAATTACGCCAACATAGCGGATCCCCAGAGGCTTAAAGCGTTGGCTTAGCCTCTACAGCTATATTGTCAAACCTCGTCTCGACTCCGGTTTATGTTATAGCCCTAGAGCCGGGCCGTAACATATGGGGGCTCGTTGCTTTGAACCTGGGAAAACGTTTTGTGAATGGATGTCCGTTGTTGGGGATGTACTATAGACGCACAGCTGTTGTCGCGTAGTGCGGCTGATTGTTTGGGAGTAGCGGGACAAGGGTAAGTGCTTTGCAGTTTCGGTATGATAGGTGAAGCAGTTGTTTTGTTGTGTCGCCATGCAATGTAATGTAAAGCTAATGCACGGGGAATTTATTTATGGCAGCGAGTACAAGCACAGTCACTTTAGTTACCGTTGGTTTCTGTCCCTGTTAGGTTGCAGTACGATCTCCCTTTGGGGTGCGAACGTGGTTAGAGCTATTAGCTCTGGAGCACGTCCAAGGCTGCGGGTGGAGTGGCCAGATGCTGGGTGCCTCGCCGGGCCTGTGGGTTTTAGTGCGTAAATACCCGCCACAATTACAGTTTTTCTCGATTGCTAACACACTAAAAATGATACATAAAGCACAATTATTTTAACTGACACTCAAAGAGCAAAACATCGGCTCAAATCTCCAAAACTCTAAACACGTTTTCAGCTTTTCACACAATTTGCAAATCAACATGGCACTTTTTGCAAACCACTGCACACGTTTCTCCACGTAAGACACAGGAATCTGACATAAAGTCACGTGTTAGCAGGTTTAAAACACTGATATTCAAAATGCCTCACACATGATCAAGAAACACGTTCCACCTGACCAAACACCTGATAGCATAATTGTTGGCTCATCAATCAGGATGTTAGCACTATAAAAAGACCACAGGTGAATACTTTCTTACAGCAACAATGAAAGCCAACATGGAAGCAAGAGCAAGAGGAAGAGGAAGAGCTGGGCTGAGAGTGAGAGGAGGAAGAATGAGAGGTAGAGGTAGAGCTGGAGGGAGAGGACGTGGACAAAGAAGAATACTCTCTAATGAAATGAAATGTTATCAACCATGGTTTGAGGATGAGAGAGGCTGGACAGAGGGTTCAGCCTAATCTAAGCCGGTGTACTGTTGCCTCTGTAATCCGGACACTTAGACTTGAAAACAGGTTAGTTACCAGTTTTTAGCTCTGCATAATTCATGATATATCAGTGCTTATATCTGTTGTGTGAAACGTATTTACTTCATTACTGTAATTGAATTGTTGGCATGTTGCATACTATAACTTTACAAAGATCCTGCACAATTTACTGTGGTAAACTTACTTTTATGCAACACAGACACTGACCAACCACTATATCTTTGTTGTTTATCTGAAGGACTGAGAAAAAAAGAGGTGCAGGTGGAAGGCTACGGATTTTCAATGAGGCACAGGAAGCAGCAGTTACAAACTGGGTTTTGGCAAACAATGCCATCACACGTAGAGAGATCCGAAGCATAGTAACTATGTGCTGAGATGCATGTTACACAATGTTATTTTTGAATAAAATGTGATTTCATTCAACAACTCATTTGTATTTCTTCATTTACTGTATTTCTGTATACTCAAGCAATCTTTCTGTGCAGAAACCTCTATGTACAGAGCATAGCCCATAAAAGATGAAAGTGCTTTAGATTATGCTCAGCAGTGTGTAGTTGGGTGGTCAAACCATCTAGTATTATGAATGAAGTGTGTTATATGTGGTGCAAAAGTTTGCATTTGGTAAGTGTTTATGTAGTTTTGAGTGCAGTTCTTCATTTCGCAGGAGACATGAGGTGTTTTGCAATTTGGGTGTGGGGTTTTGTGAAATGTGTTTAGTGTTCTGAGAAACTGAGCAATCAATAAAAAAAATGTGTGTTAGCAATCGAGAAAAA